TGGTGTTGTTGGTGTTGTTGGTGTTGTTGTTGTTGTTGTTGTTGTTGTTGTTGTTGTTGGTGTTGTTGTTGTTGTTGATGTTGCTCCACACCTCATGGAAAAGCAAAAAAGCAAAGAAAAGCAAAAAAGCAAAAAAGCAAAGAAAAGCAAGAAAAGCAAAAAAGCAAAGAAAAGCAGAAAAGCGAGAAAAACAAAAAAGCAAAGAAAAGCAAGGAAAGCAAAAAAGCAAAAAAGCAAAGAAAAGCAAGAAAAGCAAAAAAGCAAAGAAAAGCAGAAAAGCGAGAAAAGCAAAAAAGCAAAGAAAAGCAAAGAAAAGCAAGGGAAGCAAAAAAGCAAAAAAGCAAAGAAAAGCAAGAAAAGCAAGAAAAGCAAAAAAAGGAATAGAAGCAAAGAAGCAGAGAAGCACTGCAGGAGGCAATAGAGTAAGCAGGAAGAAATCCAAAAAAAAATCCCTAAACTAAAAAAACAAAAACCTAAATAAATGGCCCTCCATTATATAATAAATCTATATATATATAATTAATAAATATAATATATATATATATAATATGTCTGTGTGTAATCTACAAATATATCATAGAATGAATAGAAATATAATATATATATATATATATACATTTGTCAAAGAATCGTCAAAGATATGATATACCCATAATTATAGATCCTGCATGATCCTGCATAATTAGTTTGACATATTGAGACACTTGTGCGTTTCTAAGTCTGTCGGAAAAAGTTGAGTTAGACGGTCAATTCCCATAGTTTAAGTTGAGGTACGGTGATCAACATAAAGATGAATGAGGAAAAGCAAAATTAGTAACCATGTTAACAAGCGTTGATTATAAGACTTTTTGCTAGTCAAGTAAAAAAAGAGTACTGTGGGATAGATAACATACCAATCTTTTTTGGGTCTCCGGGGGTGGAATTCCCCTAGTTGTCTCTACCACTACTTAACGGAAAAAAATAAAGCAATTGGGATGTTTTTTAGAACATCATTCCAGGGTCCGAAGAAGGTTTTTCGTTTCAAAGCAGGAAGTTGACGGGTCTTGATGGGTCTGGATTTCCTCACTATGGTGAAAAATCAAAAGTCTGGTTGGTGGTTGACCTACCCTCTGAAAAATATGAGTTCGTCAGTTGGGAGTATTATTCCCAATATATGGGAAGTCATCAAAGCCATGTTCCAAACCACCAACCAGAAGTGGATGTGGATGAGAAAATGTATACCGTGTACCCTCTAATGATCAAACACGGCCAAGGGACATCCCCTTTTTTAATGGAGGCCTTAATAGGAAGGTCACCTTTTGGTGGCCAGATTTTCCATTGCCATGTTTGATTACCAGAGGGTAATTCATATAGAATGCAAAATATGTCTGCATATGAGGGTTTCCTGAAATGGGGGTACCTCCAAATCATCTATTTGAATGGGTTTTTCCATTTCAAAACAACCATTTTGGGATCCCCCATTTATGAAGACCCCATGAAACCCCATGAAACCCCCATATACATCTATCCATGTATCGATCCTCTATTGCAGAGATTGTTTTGTAAATGAACAGTGATGGTGTGTACATCTAAGGCGCCACCAATGTATGCGAATGCATGAAAACCTGCTGGCATTAGATCGGTAGGGTATGAAGAATCATAGTTGCAACGACCCTGCAATAAACTAACGACCAGCTATGGAAATCCATGGCTTTGCCTAGGAAATGATCTACTTAAATTGTGGATGTTCCATACTATGTTAGTTTACTAGAGGGTAATCATTAAGCTGGGGACATTGATGAATTCATAAAGGCTGTAATTGTAGACCATCCCCAAGCCTACCCGAGATGCCTAGACAATTTGCCGCAGGTTTATAGCACTGGCTCTGCCACAGTACGCAATCTCAATATTTTGCGTGCAAAATCCCCAACAAAGGCAACTTTTCAGGGGTTGAATCCTTATTACCATTACTGTTGCCACTGTAATTCCATAATTCTCATTGAATTATCGCATACCATCTGGTTATTTACCATAGCCATGGAAAATCACCATTTTTTATAGGTAAACCATCTATAAATGGGCCATTTTCCATGGCTATGTTAAATAACCAGATGGTAATCATCTCAAATCCTCCCACCATGCCCCATAGTTCGCGTTATCGTCAAGACCGGTTCCTGGCCTCTGAATGCGCAGTGCCTCCTTCCGCCTCCTCGCCTCTTGCAACTTTGTCCGACAAAGGAAGCACTGGGTCACAGTTGAGATCCTCAGAAAATCAACGGATGCAAAAACACATAAAAACACTTCAGGCTGGAAGCCGTTTCCAGCTCGAAAACAAAAACTCCTCTCATTTTCCAATGGTCCACTTTACACATTTTTACTGTCCTACATGTACATCCCCCAAGAATCCCAAACTTCAAACTTCGCCAAATGGTTGGATAGCTCAATTGCCCAGCATTTTGGGCTATAGCCACCTTCCAGGATATTCAGATCACACGAAGTGAGGTATTTCATATGGTCCTTACGCACTTGCTGGGGATATCATATGGGATATTCAGCTAGGAGATCTAAGGAACAAGGGGGGCGCAATGGGATTTACACCCAAACAATATATGTGGATATTTGGAATGAAATATGATTTAATAATTGGAAAATCATATACGGGCATATCATAAATCAATATACCATCTGGTTATTTAACAGTTCGCCATGGAAAATCACCATGTTTAATAGGTAAACAATCTATTTCTATGGGCCATGGAAAATACCATGGCGAACTGTTAGTCATAACCAGAGGGTAACTCACTCAGATAAAAAAAAATATCATGGAATATACCCTCAGATAAATCACTCCTGTTTTACCACTGCTGTTTGGTTGGGAAATTCTGACCTTGGCAGCTCCAACCGCTCCCGCATCTCCGTGGCCCACCGTTTCTTGCAATTTTTGAGTCCAACTCCAACTCAGCACACGCCTTTTTTTAGCCAACAATTGTTTACCCCAACTTAGTTATAGTCGTTATAGTCGTTATAGTCATTATAGCTATAATAGCTATAATAGCTATTATAGGTATTATGACTAGTTATTCCCATCATTTTCCATTTTTCCCTCTGATTTTCCAATGATTTCTGGTCCATATTTCAGCACCAGCCACCAGCCACCACCCCAACGTCCAGGGCGCATCTTCGCAGCCGGCCCGCGGCGGTGCTGGAAGAGCCCCAGGCGCAGCAAGTTCAGCCAGGCGCGCTGGCGACAGCGGTGGTACACCTCGGCGTTTTCGGGGGATTTTGGGGGCTTTGACCATCAACTCATGGTGATTTCCTGCAGATTTAGAATTGGTCCAATTATGGATTTTACAAGAAATTGCAGTAATTGCTTTTACAAATAACTAATCAGTATAATACTGGTGATAATTTGACCATCAACTGGATTTTTGGGGGGGGGAACCTGACCTTCGGATAATATTTCGGATTTCACCTAAACTAATGATTAGATGAATGATATTGTATTAAAAAGGAGTTCCAGTGGTTAGATCTTTTTTTACGGTATAGAACTAGATAAGTGGGGATTTTACCATCAAGAAAATTGGGGCTAGAGTCATCTATAAACGGAAGGTTATAGTAGATATAATGGGATATACTCGGGATACCATGGTATATGAACCATATACACTATATAGAACTGAATCAATGGGGGGTTAACCATCAACAAACATGGTTTTTACCAACAACAAAGGTCGTACAGTGGGCATATCATAGAAAATGGGAATATACATATAAACATACATATTATGTATACATAACCGACGGGGAATATTACTCAAACATGGCTGGTTTACTATAGGTATATCTACCATAAACCATAAACCATAGAATTCACCTAGTTATGAACTAAATTAGCTATCTAATGGACCTCATCTTGTTTTTTTTAGGGGGTTGGGAATTGTTTTAGGAACTACTTTGGTGTAAGTCTTAGGATTTGCTAAGTGTTTTCTGGGCAGGTCTCGTTGTTTTGTTGCGGTTTCCCCGCCTCTGGGCGGAGAATTCCATGGAAAATGTACCCTCTGGAAATTTGTTACATTGGCCATTTATAGTGAGTTTTCCCATAAAAAATTGTGATTTTCCATAGTTTTTTGTATGTTTACCAGAGGGTATATATCATTGTAGAACTAATGAGTGGGGGCACGAATATCACCAACAAAATAGGCGCAAACCCACGTGACCCCACTTGGGCCTCATTGCCTCTTAACTCACGGCTGGTTGGCTCACCATTCATGAATAATTTCTACCCTCACATTTCGATCAATCCACCACGCCCATCAAAAAGAGTTCACTTTTTTTTTAATAGTTGAACCAAAATGGTTATGCTATCATATATTCATAAATATCATAAATCCGTTTCCCATGGTTTCAACCCTTTGTACAAAAATTCTCATGAAACATCCCATGAAATCCAGATATTTGATGCCTAAACCATGCTAAACCCATGGGTTGCTGCTGGTAAAACCCATCCTTTTCGGCCCCAGGTGCCACTCCGGCCATCCGCCAGCGCTCTTGCCGCATCCGTTGTCGCAGGGCCCAGCCGCGCCACAGGGCCGCGATGGTCGTCTGCGCCTCATTGCGGCGCCAGATCTGATCCAGGCGCCGCAAGAAACGACGGCTGACGGATTTGCCCAGCAGCGTCAAGTTCCTTGGGGGGGCTCAAGATAAATCACACGTATCATGGGGATAGTATATAGTTATGCATATATATATATGTATGTAGTTACATATGCATATATAGCTATATATATATTGTCATATATATATACATAGTCATATATATATGTATATACATAGTTAAATATAAATCTGATTTAGATACATAAAGATGGAAATATAGGGATATGATGGCTACATCAAGGTTATCAGGGACGTGGAGGATTTTGCTGAGGATTCGCCAGTGGGAAAGTTGACCAACCAACGTTGGGCGCGCGGCATCTTTTTCTGTGGCTTACAACTGCCCAATTTAATTGTATATATATATAATATATGGATCTGGGTAAATTATAATATTTCACTAACCTGAATAGTTCGGCCATTTGGGGATGATTTCCCTTATTAACCATGATTCCAGTAAGGTCGCAGTGAGGTCGTTATAATTTACCCAGATGGATTGTATATGGCTGATATAACTGGGATGATTTTGCTTGGAAGAATTAGGGGCTTGGAAACCCAAAGATTTCATAAGGCAACTCTCTCTCGAGCCATTTGATGGGATAAACCCAGTTTTTTATCAAGGGCGTGGGGGATTTTGTTCGGTGCGTACTGGGGCTATTAATTAGTGGTACCCAAGTCATTAGTTGGAAAAAAATAAATAAATTTATATAGATATGAATATGACCCCCATAAACCCAAGTAAAATTGGACTTATAAACCAACTTATCATAAATCAGATAAAAATGCCATTAAATCTCTATTCTTTGCTAGCTCAATCACCATTTTCCCATGGTTTTGTTTCGGAAGCCGCTACCCTGCACTTCCCCAGGTATATCCCCCAGCACCAGCGCCAAAGCTCAAGGCCCTCTGCCCCCAAACGTCCGCCAGCTCCGTACCTGCCTCCCTACGGCAGGTTTGAGGCTCCTCACTGTGCCTCAGCAATGGCTGGGGGGAACATAGACAGAATTGGGGGATATGAGTAGATTATGTAGGTTTATGGTATTTCATAGTCATACTGAGTCATACTGGAGTAGATTTATCTTTGACAAATCTATTTCGAGCTACTTCAGGATGATTATAACTAACCCTAAACCTACTCAACTCTAATTGTCCTTAGTATTCTATACCAACTCTGCATTTTTTTTCGCTCACAAAAGGGGTCATCATCATCTTGGGAAACTCTGAGTCTGGCTCCTTGGCTCCCGTATGGATACCCAAGATGCTCCAATCCCTAACCACCAGATAGGCATATAGATTCATATAGATTGTAATGACTAACGAAAAACGTCAAAAAGCTTCCAATCTTGGAACTTCTCGTACCCATCCGATCATGCCGGGATCCCCAGTTCCATCCCCTTGCGCCGCGCTACGCCGGCGCCACGGGCGACGTCGCCGGGTGTTCCGAGAAGGCGCCGTCCTCCGGCCCCTCGTCGCAGATCAGGTGCCAGTCCGGCGCCCGGCCGTCCGAGGTGAAGGCGTCGCCTCAGGATCACTATGGATGTTATAGGTACGATCTACCATAGTTATTTTGGTAATATATCATGATGTTGGTACACTACCTATAGTACCCATAGTACCTATGTTGGTACATGTTGGTACCATACATGTTATTAATTATTTTGGTGGTACCTATGATGATATATTATGGTAATTATGGTAATATAGTGATTATGGCGGTACCTGTTATAATTATCATTATTACTACTTATTATGATTATAGTCCCGTGGTGATAGTATTACTGGTTGGTGGTTGACCTACGCCTCTGAAAAATATGAGTTCGTCAGTTGGGATGATGACATTCCCAATATATGGAAAAAATAAAAATGTTCCAAACCGCCAACCAGTATTAGTGATTATGGTAATATAGTGATCAATATTAGCGATAGTAGATAATGCTAATCACAGATAACAATCATACAATAACTATCATACAATAACTGTACAATAACTATATTACCATAATCACTAATACTATCAGGTAATAATCCATGGTGATAGTATTAGTGATTATGGTAATCCGCCGACCCCGGCCTTCGCCAAGGCAGGGGCGGCGCCTGGGACCACCGCAGGTGTGGAACTTGTCTTTCTTAGCAACAGGCATCCCAAGGCCACATCCATGGCTTTTTATGGGCGTCCACGCTTGCCGTTTGCCAGCCCTAAAACGCTCCAAACCCCTAAAACCCCTCAAAGGCACTTCCATGGCTTCTTATGGGCTTCCAGCGCAGGCAAAAGCCCACATCCATGGCTTTTTATGGGCGTCCAAGCTTGCCGTTTGCCAGGCCTAAAACCCTCCAAACCCCTAAATCCCCTAAAAGGCCACTTCAATGGCTTCTTATGGGCTTCGAGCGCAGGCAAAAGCCCACATCCATGGCTTTTTATGGGCGTCCAAGCTTGCCGTTTGCCAGGCCTAAAACCCTCCAAACCCCTAAAACCCCTAAAAGGCCACTTCAATGGCTTCTTATGGGCTTCCAGCGCAGGCAAAAGCCCACATCCATGGCTTTTTATGGGCGTCCAAGCTTGCCATTTGCCAGGCCTAAAACCCTCCAAACCCCTAAAACCCCTTAAAGGCCACTTCAATGGCTTCTTATGGGCTTCCAGCGCAGGCAAAAGCCCACATCCATGGCTTTTTATGGGCGTCCAAGCTTGCCGTTTGCCAGGCCTAAAACGCTCCAAACCCTCCAAACCCCTAAAACCCTAAAAGGCCACTTGAATGGCTTCTTATAGGCTTCCAGCGCCCACATCCATGGCTTTTTATGGGCGTCCAAGCTTGCCGTTTGCCAGGCCTAAAACGCTCCAAACCCTCCAAACCCCTAAAACCTCTAAAAGGCCACTTCCATGGCTTCTTATAGGCTTCCAGCGCCCACATCCATGGCTTTTTATGGGCGTCCAAGCTTGCCGTTTGCCAGGCCTAAAACGCTCCAAACCCTCCAAACCCCTAAAAGGCCACTTCAATGGCTTCTTATGCGCTTCCAGCGCAGGCAAAAGCCCACATCCATGGCTTTTTATGGGCGTCCAAGCTTGCCGTTTGCCAGGCCTAGAACCCTCCAAACCCCTAAAAAGCCACTTCAATGCCTTCTTATGGGCTTCCAGCGCAGGCAAAAGCCCACATCCATGGCTTTTTCTGGGCGTCCAAGCTTGCCGTTTGCCAGGGCTAAAACTTTCCAAACCCTCCAAACCCCTAAAACCCCGAAAAAGGCCACTTCAATGGCTTCTTAAGCTTCCAGCGCCCACAACCATGGCTTTTTATGGGCGTCCAAGCTTGCCGTTTGCCAGGCCTAAAACCCTCCAAACCCTCCAAACCCCTAAAACCCTTAAAACCCCTAAAACCCCTAAAACCCCTACAAGGCCACTTCAATGGCTTCTTCTGGGCTTTCATCGCAGGCAAAAGCCCACATCCATTGCTTTTTCTGGGCGTCCAAGCTTGCCGTTTGCCAGGGCTAAAACTTTCCAAACCCTCCAAACCCCTAAAACCCCGAAAAAGGCCACTTCAATGGCTTCTTATAGGCTTCCAGCGCCCACATCCATGGCTTCTTATGGGCGTCCAAGCTTGCCGTTTGCCAGGCCTAAAACCCTCCAAACCCTCCAAACCCCTAAAACCCTACAAGGCCACTTCAATGGCTTCTTCTGGGCTTCCCGCGCAGGCAAAAGCCCACATCCATGGCTTTTTATGGGCGTCCAAGCTTGCCGTTTGCCAGGGCTAAAACCCTCCAAACCCTCCAAACCCCTAAAACCCCGAAAAGGCCACTTCAATGGCTTCTTATAGGCTTCCAGCGCCCACAACCATTGCTTTTTATGGGCGTCCAAGCTTGCCGTTTGCCAGGCCTAGAACCCTCCAAACCCTCCAAACCCCTAAAACCCCTACAAGGCCACTTCAATGGCTTCTTCTGGGCTTCCAGCGCAGGCAAAAGCCCACATCCATGGCTTTTTATGGGCGTCCAAGCTTGCCGTTTGCCAAGCCTAAAACCCTCCAAACCCCTCAAACCCCTACAAGGCCACTTCAATGGCTTCTTATGGGCTTCCATCGCAGGCAAAAGCCCACATCCATGGCTTTTTCTGGGCGTCCAAGCTTGCCGTTTGCCAGGCCTAAAACCCTCCAAACCCTCCAAACCCCAAAAAAACCCTAAAACCCCTACAAGGCCACTTCAATGGCTTCTTCTGGGCTTTCATCGCAGGCAAAAGCCCACATCCATGGCTTTTTCTGGGCGTCCAAGCTTGCCGTTTGCCAGGGCTAAAACCCTCCAAACCCTCCAAACCCCTAAAACCCCGAAAAGGCCACTTCAATGGCTTCTTATAGGCTTCCAGCGCCCACAACCATGCCTTTTTATGGGCGTCCAAGCTTGCCGTTTGCCAGGCCTAAAACCCTCCAAACCCTCCAAACCCCTAAAACCCCTAAAACCCCTACAAGGCCACTTCAATGGCTTCTTCTGGGCTTTCATCGCAGGCAAAAGCCCACATCCATGGCTTTTTCTGGGCGTCCAAGCTTGCCGTTTGCCAGGGCTAAAACCCTCCAAACACTCCAAACCCCTAAAACCCCGAAAAGGCCACTTCAATGGCTTCTTATAGGCTTCCAGCGCCCACAACCATGGCTTTTTATGGGCGTCCAAGCTTGCCGTTTGCCAGGCCTAAAACCCTCCAAACCCTCCAAACCCCTAAAACCCTTAAAACCCCTAAAACCCCTAAAACCCCTACAAGGCCACTTCAATGGCTTCTTCTGGGCTTCCAGCGCAGGCAAAAGCCCACATCCATGGCTTTTTATGGGCGTCCAAGCTGGCCGTTTGCCAAGCCTAAAACCCTCCAAACCCCTCAAACCCCTACAAGGCCACTTGAATGGCTTCTTATGGGCTTCCATCGCAGGCAAAAGCCCACATCCATGGCTTTTTATGGGCGTCCAAGCTTGCCGTTTGCCAGGCCTAAAACCCTCCAAACCCTCCAAACCCCTAAAACCCCTAAAACCCCTACAAGGCCACTTCAATGGCTTCTTCTGGGCTTTCATTGCAGGCAAAAGCCCACATCCATGGCTTTTTCTGGGCGTCCAAGCTTCCCGTTTGCCAGGGCTAAAACTTTCCAAACCCTCCAAACCCCTAAAACCCCGAAAAAGGCCACTTCAATGGCTTCTTATAGGCTTCCAGCTGACCGATGTCTTGGGGTGTTTCACAGTCTTTCATCCTGGTGGCGTCGCCACAATGACGTCATGAGTATTCCCCAATTTCTATCATCATTCCACTTTTGCGCATGGAATGCATGTCATGTACTATATATATACATACGTATGTTTAACAATGTTTAGGCCTAGCCGTTTGCTGGGCTTCTTGCGTGGCTCTATGTCTGCGCACTTCTTCCTCCACCCTTGAAAAGGGGTCGGTGGCACCAGGGCGTTAGCCCATTTATATAGTTATAATATGCTATAATCATATGGGCATTATTCTCCAAGGTGAGAATATTAGTACTCTATGAAAATCACTATGAATCACCATGGATAAATCAATGATCATCTACCGTATGAAACGTGAATGGGGATTGTCTGTGCAATAACGGTGATTATTGGAGGTGAATTATCATGGCGATCCAATACATCTAAAATGGGGATGGTGATTCTTTTAGTGATTTTAGTGGGTTTTTGGGATGAAGGCACAATTTCCTTGTTGTCTAATAAAGTTTGTTCATGGTCGGACATATGTGGACTTTTTTTTCGTGCTGATTTCATTGGGATATTTATTGGATGTTCTAATGATAGTAAGGCAATCAAACAGAATGGCTAATCAGCTGATTACGTGACGTGGATTCCACCGTGGATCTATCTAAAAATATCATCTACTATATATATATATATAAATAAACCTATATGATGTATCTAAAAATAGATTCTATTGTACATATATATATATATATATCATATGTTTTTGCCACCCTCACCTTCCAAAGCCAATCGTTACATAGATGTATGGGCCCCAAGATTTCAGGCCCCATAGCCAGTCATCAAATATGGATGGATTTTCCCAGCTACATTTCCCTCCATTCAAAGGAAATGTCCAAAGGCCAGCCATGCCTGGTGCTAAACGCAGGAAATTTTCGGGAATGATCCACTGGCTAACTATCAATAATCATCCCAGCAACCAATCCAGCAACCAGTGGGTATCCCATTAGATGGCTAATAATTAGATAATGGATCCACTGGCTAATTATCAATAATCCATGAATGATCCACTGGCATCCACTGGCTAATAATCATCCCAGCAACCCCCAGCAACCCATCCATTCCCTACTACATGTTGAATTTCCAAAGGGTATCCCATTAGATGCCCATGACATCAGCTGAGATCACCCCCACCTTGCTGTAGGACCTCCACTAATCTGGATGCCATGCCTAAGCGGCAGCCGACAGTTGGGACAGAACCAACCAGAATGGAGGTAGAATCAACAAGAACCAGTGAAGTCATGAAGAAAATGATAGAATATGTGGCATATCAAATATTTGGTGTCTGCACACCTACAAGAAATGTAAACAACACGACACAGCTACAACTCAACTGCAACCAGCAGTCCAGCAGCTGATTGGTGAGAGATATCTTGGGATGTTCTTCAAGGGCGAGAGGTAGTATGGGTCAATTGCGGGTAAATTAGACGATGTTCCATCAAATCTATGCACATGATACTGCATACTTGGGGATACATTGCATGACAATATTGTCCGTTTAGGAATGTTTAGGAAAATAGACGGGGGCAGTTTGGCATCTGATCTATCATCACTTACCGATTAGTCGTGGTTGAAAATCAACCAATCAGTGGGAATTTGGGACATCTACATGATACATTTGGATAGACCGGATGCACTGCTGATATTATGAGATATATTTGGGGGTCATTCCTCCCAGTCACCTGAGGGCTAGCAAGGCAATAGGAATCCCTCAGCCTGAGGGATTCCTATTGCCTTGCTACTATGACTCTGGTTCAATTTTTAACCAGCTGGTTCCTCCAAATATTTACCCATGGTGCCAAGCTTTCCATATTTTTGCGGGCGTTTTTGGACTGTAGATTGATATAAAATCCAGATAAATCCATATGAAACGATATGAATCCATATGATGTACATATTATAATTGATTATACATATAATATATATATACTGTCTATCTATATATATATACTGTCTATATATATATATACATGTATATATCCATATAAACCCATTATAAAACCAGAAAACCACATGTAAAAAACTCATCTAAAACCCCGCTTCAGAAAGCCACAAAAACGGGAAATCCCTATTTTTTCAAGGCGCGCTCCAACATCTCAGACATCCAGGCGGTTCGCGACTCACAGGCAGGGCTCAGGTTCACCTCCAACAACCTTTTTTGAGAGCCGCGAAAGGATGCGAAAGGCCGAAAGGTGAGGCTGAAAGAGCCCCTGGAAATACCCTCTGGTTATGTCAAAATAGCTATTGAAAATGGCCATTTATAGTGAATTTTCCCATGAAAAATGGTGATTTTCCATGGCTATGTTAAATTACCAGAGGGTAGGTGGAACTTCGGATTTTTGTTTTATTGATTTTTACTGGGAGTGGTTGAAGATTTATCGATTTCTTTGGGATTTATTGTGATTTGTTGTTTGGTAAACCCCCATTAACGTTCATCGTTTTTTTAATTAATATATCATAATATATCTACCATAAACATCCATAAACCAGAGTTATTGCAGTTATAAACCAACGTAGGTGGTAAAGCCACTGCCACATTTGACCCACCCAATTTCTTGTGAGGCATTGGAGGGGATGGTTTGTGATATTTATTGTTTCTGTATGCTTTGGGGTTTAGCACATTGCCATCACCCC